CCTAACCTAACCTTACATATATATATAGGTTAGGTTAGGTTAGGTAGGGTTGGTTAGGTTCGGTCATATATCTACGTTAATTTTAACTCCAATAAAAAAAAAATGACCTCATACATAGTGAAACGGGTTGCTTTATCATTTCATAAGAAAAAAATTATAGTAAATATATTAATTCAGGAAAACTTGGCTTATTAGGCAAATCGGGCCTTGAATAGTAGGCTGAGAAGTGAGTTCTGGCTACTAGGTACGACATATATATATATATATATATATATATATATATATATATATATATATATATATATATATATATATATATATATATATATATATATATATATATATATATATGTTGTACGTAGTAGCCAGAACGTCGTATTTGGCCTACTATGCAAGGCCCGATTTGACTAATAAGCCAAGTTTTCCTGATTTTATATATTTTCCCAAATTTGTCTTATGAAATGATAAATCTGTCTATTTCATTATGTATAAGTTAATTTTTGTTAAATTTGAGTTAAAACTAACTTAGATATATGACCGAAGCTAACCAACCCTACCTAACCTAACCTAACCTGTCTTAACCGTTCTGGCTACTAGGTACGACATGTATATATTTATATATATATATATATATATATATATATATATATATATATATATATATATATATATATACATATATTTATATATATATATATATATATATATATATATATATATATATATATATATATATATATATATATATATACGCTACAGTAGGCAGAGTTGTGGACTTGTTGATGGTATATGCTAACCAGGGAGAGTAGTTTAGTTATTTGTGCTAGTTAGTCAACAACGGGTAGAATGTAGTAGTGGCTGTAATAATGTAGAATACATCAGACTTAGTAGTGTATGGTCATTGTGATACGTTAGGGTACAGCAGATATAGTAGAATAGTGTTGGCTACAGCAAACATGGTAGTGAGTGGTCGCTGGAGTAGGTTACAGCAGTGTAGTGGAGTAGTTTATACTACAGCAGGCATAGTTGTGGAGTGGTAACTAATGTACAGGCTACAGCAGGCATAGTTGTGGAGTGGTAACTAATGTACAGGCTACAGCAGGCATAGTTGTGGAGTGGTCGCTGGTGTAAGCTACAGCAGGTAGTACAGTGGCGTGGTCACCTTGATACTGTAGGCTACATCCTGTTGATAACAGTTCTTCCTCATCCCTCTCTCCCTCTGTGCTACCCCCACAAGCACCAGGAAAATATTATAGTACTCCGTATTAGTTTTATTACTCTTTTCAAGTTAATATACGGGCTTTAATATCAATATAATTTGTATTCTTATTATTATTATTAATAGTAGTATTACCTGTAGAAGTATTTTTCAATACAGTATAATGCTTGTGAGTGTTAAACGTTTTGAACAATTAATTATATTTTAACGTATCTGTATTTTCAGATAATTGTAAAGGGAATATTATGCACTTATGCTTCTCATGTTGCTATATAATGTGAACAAAATTTACTTAATAATGAGATCGAATTAGGATATGTAGCTTAATTAGCATGACATTGTACGCAACTGTACAGTCAGCGATGGTAACAGCTCCACTTACTTTCTTTCTGGCTTTCATTATCATCCTGGTGTTTCGCCTCTTTACTTGTATCAGATATCTTCTCCATAGAAATGTGATAAATCCTCGATCCTGGTCCTCGATCCGAGCATGCAAGTTCTTGGAGTACTTGGAGTGTGAGATGTGACAGGCAGGTGCTGCAGAGAGGAAGGCACCGTGGTCACTGCGATAGCCAGACCGCACCAGGGGACCGTGGGACGGCTGCAGGAGGCTCCTGGTAGGCTTAACATTCAACCGTTGTTGGGCCTATATGCTCACTTTGTTTCAATATCGATAAAGCTGATTCATGGTGGCTAAACTTGATTCGACATCGATACCGTTAAATGAATCTTTTGCTCACTGGGAGAAAGGACGGGAAGGAGGAAGGGATGGAGAGAGAGAGAATGGGATCGAGGGAGCTACAAAGGGAAAGAGAATGAATGGGAGGGAGGCAGAGGAAACTTGAGGGAGTGTTCCTCACGTGTTGCCCCAAAAAATGAGGTGATTTGATAAAATGCTATGCCCAAGATTACCATCCGAGTGACGGCGGGGAAGTGGTTCAAATAGCTTCGGCTATCACTTCCTTATGTCCGGTCGTGATGGTCAAGCGGATTAATTAAGGCGTCCTGTAAATACCAGTTGCATTGCTCCTGGCAGTATGGGTTCGAGTCACTTCTGGGGTGTGAGTTTTCAGTTGCATATAGTCCTGGGGACCATTCAGGCTTGTTCGCATTTGTGTTCCTCACATGTTGCCCCCCAAAAATGAGGTGATTTCATAAAATGCTAAGCCCAAGATTACCATCCGAGTGCCGGCGGGGAAGTGGTTCAAATAGCTTCGGCTATCACTTCCTTATGTCCGGTTGTGATGGTCAAGCGGATTAAGGCGTCCTGTAAATACCAGTTGCATTGCTCCTGGTAGTATGGGTTCGAGTCACTTCTGGGCTGTGAGTTTTCAGTTATATATATATATATATATATATATATATATATATATATATATATATATATATATATATATATATATATATATATATATATATATATATATATATTAGTATATTTTGGTAGCAATCTTTCTTGTAAACATATGTTGTTAAATCTGACCGAAAAAGTAAGATTAAAAGTAAGATGGTAACTGAAAAATCAATTCTCCAAAATTCATTTTAATTTCTAGTCTGACGCGACACTTGAACGCGTTTCGTAATAACTTATTACATTTTCAAAGACTTTACTTTACACACACACACAACTATAACCTACAAACACTAAACAGAGTTTTACTATGCTAATATTTAAACAGCTTTTGTCTTATATACTCGTATTTGGGTGAGGTGATATGTTACAACAGTTTTGGATGAGGTGAACAAACTTTCAACACAAGACAGAACACGGTTAAATGGGTAAAGATGAAAGGGAAGAATGGAAGTAACTGCAAAGGGCCTATTGGCCCATGTTTCCTCTTGATGCTTTTATATTGGTACGGAGTCTTGAAGTTGGTAGAATATAGTTGTGCATTAATTGGCTGTTGATTGCTGGTGTTGACTTCTTGATGTGTAGTGCCTCGCAGATGTCAAGTCGCCTGCTATTGCTGGATCTATCGATGATATCTGCATTGTTTGTTAAGAATTCTCCGGTGATGGTCTGGTTGTGGGAAGAGATTATATGTTCCTTAATGGATCCCTGTTGCTCCAGGTTGTATGTTGTACCTAGTAGCCAGAACGTCGTACTCGGCCTACTATGCAAGTCCCGATTTGTCTAATAAGCCAAGTTTTCCTGAATTTATATATTTTCTTATTTTTTTCTTATGAAATGATAAATCCATCCATTTCATTAATGATAAGTTAATTTGTTGAAATTTGAGTTAAAACTAACATAGATATATGACCGAACCTAACCAATCTGTTTAGTGTTTGCAGGTTATAGTTGTGTGTGTGTGTAAATTAAAGTCTTTGAAAATGTAATAAGTTATTACGAAACGCGTTCAAGTGTCGCGTCAGATTAGAAATTAAAATGAATTTTGGAGAATTGATTTTTCAATTATCATCAACAGTAAGAAGAAACATTTATAATTGTGTAACTAGCGTGAAAAGATTGTTATTTGCTTAGCTAAACGAACTAAAGGGTTCAGTTCCTGAACCGATTATGTGCCTCTGTAATCCTTTACACCACCGCCCACGGGATGGGTATGGGGTACATAATAAAGAAAGAAATATTGAATTGGAAAAAAATGAGTGTGTGTGTGTGTAGGCAAATTTGGGAAATGTAGCTAATGTATAATATTGTGTTATATGTAGTAAGAAATATTTGACACGTGTTCTATTTTTTAGTTTTTAACATGTGGAATAATTTTATCTTAATTTTTGTATATTCTTTGATTTTTAGATAGATGTACTCACCTAGTTGTGCTTGCGGGGGTTGAGCTCTGGCTCTTTGGTCCCGCCTCTCAACTGTCAATCAACAGGTGTACAGGTTCCTGAGCCTATTGGGCTCTATCATATCTACACTTGAAACTGTGTATGGAGTCAGCCTCCACCACATCACTTCCTAATGCATTCCATTTGTCAACCACTCTGACACTAAAAAAGTTCTTTCTAATATCTCTGTGGCTCATTTGGGCACTCAGTTTCCACCTGTGTCCCCTAGTGCGTGTGCTCCTTGTGTTAAACAGCCTGTCTTTATCAACCCTGTCAATTCCCTTGAGGATCTTGAATGTGGTGATCATGTCCCCCCTAACTCTTCTGTCTTCCAACGAAGTGAGGTTTAATTCCCGTAGTCTCTCCTCGTAGCTCATACCTCTCAGCTCGGGTACTAGTCTGGTGGCAAACCTTTGAACCTTTTCCATTTTAGTCTTATGCTTGACTAGATATGGACTCCATGCTGGTGCCGCATACTCCAGGATTGGTCTGACATATGTGGTATATAATGTTCTGAAAGATTCCTTACACAAGTTTCTAAAGGCCGTTCTTATGTTAGTCAACCTGGCATATGCTGCTGCTGTTATCCTCTTAATATGAGCATCAGGGGACAGGTCTGGCGTGATATCAACCCCCAGGTCTTTCTCTCTCTCGGACTCTTGAAGTATTTAATCTCCCAAGTGATACCTTGTATCTGGTCTCCTGCTTCCTACCCCTATCTTCATTACATTACATTTGCTTGGATTAAACTCTAACAGCCATTTGTTCGTGTTTTTGTGTTTTTGTAATCTTGTTTTCATTAAGAAGATATCTTCTATTAAGAAGATATCCAAATATCTCTGGTTATATATGAAGGTCTGGATATTTAATCATATATATTTTTATATTGTTGCATACAAAACAGATTAAATTTATAATAAAAAAGTTAATGTTATGAAGAACGTAAGCGACTTGTGACGTCACGCAGACTAGGATTGAGGATCCGGGCTGAGGCGAACACCAGCCAGACACGTCAAAAGCTCACCACAGAAGCAAAACAAACAAGGGAAAAGTAATATCTATGGTTAGTGCTACTGTAGAATTTTGCAACGATATGTTAAATGATTGTCAGTCATTAGTTTCAAAGGTGTACTTTCAGTTTTTCATTAAAATGTGACCTGTAAAAAGATAGTTTCTTGGTAACTAACTTGTAGTTGGGGAGACTTCCTTTTGCCACGTAAGTAATTCCCATTCTGGACCTGTGAGACAGTACACAGGCGTCGACAAGGCTCTTTATCTAGTTAAGATGGTATATATTGTTAGGTTAGGCAGTACTGGTTAGTTTTAGATTTGTTGATCTGTCTTGGGTGTTAAAAGTGACAATTTACCTGAAGGTCAACATTTTATCTAGTAGCCTCCATGGGGACAGGAAGCTGGCTCCTTGTTAAAGGTCCCCACCACCCGCAAATACGTTCTTTAACTTGATATATTTCTTCGATATTTCTGGGCATTGCAATGCCACATACAGTACTTTATAATTGTTTTATTGCTAGCATTATATGTATAATTATAAGGTTTCTCTTTTTTATGTAATAATTGCCCAAGATATGTAAAATCATAATTATAGGGATTTATAAGCAGAATTCCATTCTCATAAATTTCTGTAATTAAAAATATCAAGTCATGAGCTATTGTCTAAGTATTAAATTTAGTTAAGGGAGTTACCGGAGTGGCACTCAGACGGGGCATTTTATTACACTCGATGCTCTAGTTTGTGTGGTACAGCTTTTGCAACAATCTATTTTTCCTCATACCATATTTCTTCTCTTCTAAATTTTAATTTTTTCCAAGTACTGTATACAAGGCTAAATACAAATTTGTGTGTATGTCTTCTCTCAAGTGACCCATAGTAGATATTGAAATAATTTTTAAAGTTGACTCCCATCATTAAAATTTATCTAACTCAAGTAATTTACCCTTAGACAGAGGCTATGGACAAATGGTCATATCCACCTATACAAAACAAAACAAAAAAAAATCATTATAGAATTATTCATTTGTATGCAAAATATAAGAAAAGCACAAAAATAAGTACTGTAAATATATGTAATTTCATTGGGTGGAGACACTGTAAGTCTGCATCTGGCACTTGTGCCTGGAGTCTGGTGCTCGATTTTGCCGACGCATCTTGATTTATTCTCTGATGTTTCACTGATTGTTTTATTACTTGGTTTCCTCTATTTACATCCACAGAGAGCTTTTATATCCATATTTACATCACACATGTAAAACCCAGACAATAATTGTTTAAATCATATGATGATAACTGCATTCCCCTAGTAACATTCATGACAATAACCACATTTGTACCATGAAATGGTGCAAGATTTTTTCATGGGTCACAGTAAATTCCATTACATCCACATAGACCTATTATATCCATATTTTCATGATATATATACTGTATAACCCCAGACAATAATTTTTGAAATCTTCATATGATAACTGCGTTACCCTGTGAATCAACAATTGACAATAACTGCTGTCTAAGGATTAAGTGGTGTCCCTAAACTTGAGATTTTCTTGGTCATTTAATAAGTCTGAATATGCTTTGTTTATCTGCTGGCATGAACCAATGTGAAAATTACAAATCTTCAAAACTTATGAGACAGAAGTGAGCTCATTAAAATTTTAGCTAGTTGTATGATTGATAATAGCATTTAATATTCAGTGCTGCACATATGCCCTAAAAAAGAATGACCCAACTAAATAAATTATCCATTCCACATTTCTCTTCTTCAAAAAACTTATAACAAAATTAAAGTGCAGTAAGCTAAATAGGTCTCGGTACAAATGAAGCCTTAAACTGAATTTCCATATAAAAATGCCGCTTTTCTGAGCCTTTGGGTTATCCGGCAGTTTTTCAGAAATGCTGGTGAAACTTTAGAAAGAATGGATGGGGTTGAATGGCTAGAAAGAGATGCTAACGACCCCAGGGTATGGTATGATGAGTGAAGAAGAGATTCTCAAGTCTGTTACTGGTGATGTGGATGAAGAAGAGAACAAAGATGGCAATGTGGAACCAACACCACAGACAACAAAATACAGTTTACTCGTGTCTTCTATTGACATGCTAATTAATTTTTCATCCAACTGTGCTAATCCAGAAATTGGAAACGTATATTATCAGTACCTGAAGCAAACCAAAGAGCTGATCATAAAAAAAAAAAAAGGCCAATGAACATGGGGGCAAGCTAAATTTATTCTTATTTTGTAAGAACAGCAGCCAAACCAGTGAGGCCTCACAAGCAAGTCAAGAGCCTTCAGACAGTGAGGCTGCAGCAGCTGGCAGTTAAAAGTGACCTTCGCCTCAGGTAGGGCGCCTGACAGCTGAATGATCAGCTTCGGATTCATAGTCCTGACGTTCCTGGTTCGATCCCCAGTGGAGGTGGAGACAAATGGGCAAAAAGGTTTTTATTTACCCTGATGCCCATTACCTAGCAGTAAATAGGTACCTGGGGGTTAGACAGCTGCTACGGGCTGCTTCCTGGGAGTGTGTAACAAAAAGGAGGCCTAGTCGAGGACCGGACCACAGGGACACTAAGCCCAGAAATCATCTCAAGATAACCTCAAGATATATTGCCAAGCTCATGTATTGTACAGTAATTTTAAGTGTTAATTTTAGTTTTGTATTAGGTTAGGTTATGTAAATTTCAAGAATTCATAACCTAAAGATGTGCATCAATCAAGAAGATGAACTACAACAAAGTAAGTTGAAGTTTGTTTAAAATTAATTACAGTACTGTACTGTATTTGAATATTTTATAATTATAGTTTGTGGCAATTCAAATTACATTGGTTGTGGAAAAAGATATTGAATATGTAAAATTTTGGACTTTCCCAGTAAGAATTCTGCTTATCCGCATGTCTGGCTTATCCGGCAGGAGATCCTTCCCATGTAATTCGGATAAGTGAGCTTATACAGTACTGTATAGTCTTATTAGTAATAAAATGGTATCCCCCAAAACGTATGTTTTAATTGGTCCTTTAAATTTGCATTTTGCTTGGTTATCTCTCTGTATTAATATTCTATGTAAACTGTAAAGCATTAAAATTTGCCTGACACAAATGAACACAGTAAAATTAAATCCACCTCCAAACTTTAATTAAAGTTTTAAAGTAATATTGCATAGATTTGTTTCTAGTCTTATTTGTTTAATTATTAATATCCATTAACAGAAACTCATCTCTGCACTTATTCACCAGAACAGACTTCTCTTCAACATACCTGAAGGAAATGGAGAGGAGTTTGAAGAGTGAAGACGGTGGGTTAAATTAAGAGAAAATTAAATATTAAGTTTGTTGACACATTTGCAACCACATTATTGAGTTTAAATTTTCTACATGGATTCTAATGAAACCATTATTAATTATCCAGTGAAGAAGATTTTTGACAATAGGGTTTCAATTATGCTTGCAGTGTTATCAACCAGCAAAGAATAGCAAAGTACAGTATTTTGAATATCAATTTTGGGGAAGTTGCTCTTCTATGTGTATAGAGGTGTGCATTTTAAACAATGTTGTACACTATTCATCTTTATTATAAAATTATTCTAAAAGAACTCCATTCAGAGCCCATCTTAATTTAGCCTTAAATGATACTGTATTTCCAGCCCATTCTCACAAGCATTCCCATCGTCACTAAACTATGGTACTAAATTGCCCAAACCAAATCTACCCAAGGACCCACAAATAGAAAACAGAGCATCACATCAATTTTGCAAGCCGCTACCATTTTTAGTATGTCAGTTTTTGACCTCGGGGAAAGTATACATCAAAATGCGATGTACTATTAGGAGGACGGGTTGGTATATTAGTACCCTTACATAGTATCATGACAAGTTGTATAAATTATGTTCTTAAATTTGTATTAAATAACCTTCAATTATTGTAGTGACACCTCGGCTTACGAATGCCCTTTTTTACAAACTTTTCAAGTTACAAGCCAAATTTCTTCATAAAATCCGAATTGGGTTACGAACTTTGCCTCGGGTAACATAGTTTGTTGATATGCGTATGGCCAACCTAGAGCGTGGTGGCACAGCGACCCGCTTCAGTGCCACCACACCTAGTGACAATCGTGCCTGAATTCTTTGCAAAGAATTTCAGCGTTTTTTGTATTTTTGGGTATTTGAAAATAAAAGTAATTATTATATATCTCGCCATGGGTCCCAAGAAAGTCAGTGGTAAAGTTCAGCCTAAGAAAATAGTTGTGAGTAGAGGCAGTAGAGGATGTCCCTTCCTCAATAAGAAAATGTGTGAAGTATGGGGAGAACTTCAAAGTTTTGTTGAGAAAACTCCCCCAGATAAAGCTGTAGCATGCCATTGCATTGACCTTTTAAATGACAATGTGATGTCTCACTACAGACAAATGTTAAAATGTTTCTGTCTTTAGTTAAGAATCTTTAAAGAATAAACAGATTCTTAGTAAGACAAGCAAGCAGTGAGCCACAACCAAGTCCTAGTGGTACTCCTGCAAAACGTAGGGATAGAGAGTACCCCAGAGATGTCATCACTACCTGATGTTATAATGGAAGGGGACTCCCTTTCTAAACACTAACACCTCTCCCTCCCCCCCCCATTTCCTCACCATCTTCCATATGCCAACAAGAGTCATCAATAAAGGTAAGCAATAACTTGTACAAACTTTAGTACTAAAGATTTGGGTGAATTAGGTATAAAATTTACTTTGAAATTAATATTTTTGGGAGTGTGGAACGGATTAATCCAATTTACATTATTTCTTAGGGGAAAATTCAGTTTATGAACCGTTTCTGGGAACAGATTAAATTTGTAAGCTGAGGTACCACTGTACTTAGTTATGTATTAGTCAGCATGTTAGGATTCAGTCTTTTGACTATGAGAACTTTATAGTTGGCTTATTCTGCAAGTAAATTCTTCTTGTGTGCACTTAATGGTAGAACCAATTCTATTACCTAAGTTGAAATTCTGTCTGTCCGTACTGCTTTGAGTTTGGCTTAATCTTAAAACAGTTTCATTGCATTGTCTCTCGGCACATCTAAGTTATGCTGTAAAGTTTAAAGTGTGTGGTGTTGTGAGATCCTCCTTTTATGCAAATGCACTTTGAAACTGATCATTTATGGTTTTTGCACATTTACTACTTTGTCTCCATAATTTTTTTGCCCATCTGGTTAGTTTTTTCTTTTGTGATCTCTTGCCATTCATTATTTCTGAACCAGTCTTATTTTTCAGTTGTGTATTGCTGTATTGTGATTCCCCACAACCCTTTTTTCTTTTGGGGAGCCCCGGAGACTCCCTGGCTCCAGGGAGCCTCCGGGGCTCTACCCAGAAAATGGCATTTCTTTACATTTAACGCTGTTATTTTTAAGTTGATCTCTGATATCACCATTTCACTTATCTATTGTCATATTTTGTGTGTACATGCACATAACTGACTTGGTTGTGGCATGAATTGACACCGCAGGAACTGCTGGGTTTTGTGATGTTGACTGCAAGGGTCCCGGTAGTACAGTATAGTCTGGTTCATTCTCGACACACAATCGAGAATTCCGGGTTCAAATCCCGGGTGGGACAGAAATGGTTGGGCACATTTCCTTTTGCCTAATGTCTCTGTTCACCTAGCAGTAAATAGCTACTCAGGAGTTAGTCAGCTTGTTGTGGGGTTGCATCCTGGGCGGGGTCAGTAATTCAACCTTAGGAGGTAGGGGGGAACCCTCCACAAAAGCCTAATGTGTATGAGTACACTCTGGCTTCCTGTTCCCCCACACGATGTCACAATGATAAAGTGGCATTGTTCTGTATTTTTTTATTTACTCCTTTTCATTGACTAATTTGTTAAGTAGTGAATAAAATCTTGAATGAAAGTATTTTTGAAAGAAAATCATTAGTGATCATAATAATAATACAGTAATAATAAATAATAATAATTAATATTTTATTTAGGAAAAGTACATACATAGATGCAGAGTTACAAACATTCTGATTGATTTATAAATAGAGCTAGTACATACAATACCTAAAGCCACTAGTACGCATAGCGTTTCGGGCAAATATCATATGGAGTGCTGCAAACTGCAGAAACTGTTAAAGCAAAGCCAAATTTGTACAAATTTGTAGATGCTGTGTTATGCATTGCCTAGTACAGTATTAAGATTCCAAAGGGAATAAGCAAAATTTGGGGCTCATAGCATTACCAGTAAATAAAGATAATATTTTGAATTTTTAAATTGCTCGTGTTGATATGACAGCCATCTTTAAATAAAAACAATTACAGTAAAAGCATTAACCCAAAATAAACAAATAAAAGTCATCACCTAAAACAAATGAATGTCTCCTGTTTGGAATAATAAAACTTGTAAATTATAAGACAGATATAATGTTTGAACTGGACCTAAACAGAAACCTCCACCCCCTTTCTCTAAGTTGGTGTGACATACTAATGCATATGTGAATTGACACGCAAACAGAATGCCAGCCATATTTTCCTTGCAGGCTGGATCAACTTAACCCTGTGCCTTGTGTCAATTTATATTTTAACTTATTAGGAAATAATAAGAATTGCAGAAGTTTAGTATTTTTAGCTCATTTAAATTTTTTATTTGCAGCTGAAGAATTAAAGATGTCTTGGATAACTGACTTGGCTGGTCGAGCTGAGCACCTTCTTAATAAGCTAGACAGCGAGGCTGCCACAGTTCTTAATAAAGAAAGAAGAAACTCGGCCACCTTAAAGCCATCTTTTAAGTATGATGCTGCCAGAACTACCCCTCCTTTAACTAATTATGAAAGGTGAGCTTTTTTTATGATTTCATTACTATACTGTACTTAAATATGATGTAACTAAACATAAATTAGGTTGAAATTATGGCTTCAAATCCTTGAATTAAATCATATGAATTAACTTGTTATTTTTGCAATAAGCATGAAAGTGGCAGGTTTCAGTTTTAATAATTTAAGTAATTTGGTTGTAATGTATCGGATATCTAATTGATAAAAGATAACAAAGGCCTAAAAATATTGCTTAATTAAAAATTTACCCAAGTAAATAATACCAAATTAAAGGGCTTATTTGACTTTAGAACAGAACAGTTTTGTAATTCATTTTATGAGGGGACAGGATGCCTATGTATATATATACTTCAGGCTTATATCAAGGTCAAACTTCTGACCCTTCCCAGGATGCAACCCCACAACAATTGCCTAACTTCTGGATACCTATTTACTGCTAGGTGAACAGCAACATTAGGTGAAAGAAAACATGCCCAACCATTTCTGTCTCACCCGGGATTTGAACCTGGGAGTCCCAGTTGTGAGTCTAGAACAAACCTAACTGTACTACCAAACTTGCATAAGTATGCAGAGAATATATGATACTGTATGCAGGATGTTCAGCTCTATGCAGTGCATTTAATACTATCATTATTTGTAATATTTCCAGATCAGGATTACACAGCTCTTCAAGTGTGCCATCCAACTTGAGCAGTTATGGTGTCAGTGGAACTTCAACTTTTGCACACGGCACTAGCCTCCAAGCAGAACATGGAGCCTCCCTTACTTCCTCTCCAAAATCCACAATTAAAAAGAGTAGTGCAAAGAAAAAGGGCAGTACCAGCAGAGATGAAGTTTTGATTGATTTCTTGAACAGCCCCACACAACAGGAGACTCAGCCACTGCCAACCACCACCACCCATCAAGCTGATCTTGTGAGCTTCTATCAATCTGATGTGTAGTTGGTTATGGCTTTTAGAAATTTCTTGTATTCTGTGCTATTTTATCATAATTATTGACTTATTCAAATGTGAAAATTATATACATAGCTTGTACATAAAAGATTGTATTGCTGCTTTTAATTTTGAGTTTGAATAATTAATATGCAGTTCAGTATCTAGCATCAACTGTGTGATCCAGGTTAATTAAAATTTTTAGATGATAGTACTGTATATTGAATAACTTGAGGAAAATGTTAAAAATGTTACAGATCGCCTCAACTAATATGACTACTTCCGCTATCAATAGTCTGGGGCATTCTCGGCAGTCATCTGTGTCCTCTGCATCTTCTTTAGTAGCTCTCAGTGGACGTGAAACACCAGGATCTGCTACTATTGATATTGGTAAATAGTGAAAGTATTAATACCCTAGTATCTTTGTTTTCTTTATGTCCATGGTTTAGGCAAAATATATACATTTTTCTTGAAACCATATTTGTTTTACCATTCACTAAACACATTCAAATAAACTCAAATACATAAAATTTATTAATGAGGAATAGTAGTCATTCCACCGGTTAAGTAAAAATTGAGTAACACTTACTAGTCCTGCCAGACGCTTAAGGCCCAAACAGGAATATCCCTTCAAAAGAAAAAAAAAATCTTTGTAATTGAAGTTTGAAACTGTTACCCTTCAGAACTTTTGCATTGCCATTCACTTGAGACATGCATGTAATTGTCTCGTGTTGAAGTTTTACCATTGTATCCAAAATGTCATGTACTTGTATATAAAATATGCTGAAATTATGGTTTTCAGTTTCCCATTGTTGGGGAACAAGGAAGCCTGTTAGGCTTATTAATGTCTCCCCTTACCCCAGGCCAGCAACTGACTTTCCCGAAGATGCAACCCACAAGGTTAGGCACAGATGACCTAACTTCCATGTACATATTTTCTGCTAGGTAAACAAAGGTATAAGGTGAAAGGAAACAGAGCCAAATGTCTGTCCTGCCACAGGAATTGAACCAGAGACCCCTTTGGTTGTGAACTGATTGGGATGACCCCTGACCTGGATCGTAGAAGGTTCCTAAGAGGGTCCCTCGGTAACTTCCAAAGCTTAGCTTAGCTTTGGTACCACCAAGTCTTAGTTCAACACATCAGACCTTCGTGACCCATACTGGATATAGGTCCATATCCATACTTAATGGAATCCAGAATAATAATTTGACTACAAGGTGAGGGAAGCTAGTAGATCAGAGATCAACCCCAAAAACTTGGAAAACTCCCAAGAGAGACCATGGGTATAACAAAACAAATGACTGCTTGAAGGAAATTGGGCACATCTAGTTTAAACAAGACAAATGAATGTTACCACAGGGCAAGTATTCTGTGATGTGCCCGACTGCCAACTAGATGCTAGCCTTGGTCACATGAGGTCACAGCCAACCTAACCCCTCAGTCTTCTGCCTGGTGCCTCCTGTTCAACATCTGTAGCTTACCTCTGTTGGGCCTCTTGCATTTATTACAAATGTAATACATTTACATTTACATAAAAAATACATTTATTTTTACATACGTATTTACATTTACATACATATTACATTTACATACAAATTACTGTATTATAAATATATTGTAAATTTTTATAAAAACACTTCATTTGCATGCAAACTTTGCTATATTTTTTTTATACTGAAGATTATTATTATATTAGTGCAAAATATAGAATACACTTGTGCACATATTTTGATACTATAATTATATGGAAAGGTAAATTTGTAAATTTTTGTTTGTTTAATTTTTAAGCTTTTTGGCACAGAATTTTCATGAAGCAATTACATTGGCTCACTTCACAGGAAGTCTCCTGTTATTTCTGTTACAACTGATCATGATAATCTTGGTAAAAAGTGGAATTTTCCCTGACATCGTTATTCTCAGGGTAGGTAGAGTCTGTTCCAACAGGTGTCCACTGTACATGTCAATTTCTGAACTGAGCCTACTTGGTTGCTCCTGAAGGCAATATCATGCCCTCACAAGTCCATGGTAAAGTGCTATGTCACATATGCTCCAAACCCGATTCTTTAAATAATTTGGTGAAATAATAATCACCAATTTCAAGACTTTTCATAATGGTATAATTGTCAATCCTCCACCTTTTAGCTCCCTAATCTGTATTGCAAAATTAGACAATTACATGAGTATACTGTATATAATAAATGGTAGTTATTCTTGCACTGTAAAATGAATTACAGTTCCTATATTAAAAACTTATGTTTTCTAGATTTTCATGATTCAGTGCTGTTAACAGAGAGTGGCAGCTGTGGCTCAGGCAGTGGATCAGCCAACACTGATGCATATGTAACAGTAGACACTCCCACTGATGTTAATATATCAGCTCCACCCAGCACAGATGGCAGCACCAGGTAAATATTTTGTCTCTTAATGCCTTGCTAATGCATACAGAACTTTTGATTCTGAAAGCAAGAGTATACTGTAATATTTAAACAATATAATATACTGTATATTTGTAAACAATATAATATACTGTATATTTGTAAACAATATAATATACTGTATATTTATAAACAACTAGCAGTACCCAGCCACAGCAACCTTCCCTGTCCCCCAGTTCTTCCCACCATTCCCCCCTCGCCCGTCTCCTCGGCCTCCCAACCATTCCCCACTCCACCATCCCCTCTTCCTTCCCACCATGTCTCACTTCCCTGTCCCTTTGTCCTCTCCACCATTCTCCATTCCCCCATCCCCTCGTCCCCACCATCCCAAACTTCCCCCGTCCCCTCGTCAACCCCACCATTCCCCACTCCCTCATTCGATGCCTTCCCAAATGGTCTGATGTTCCCGTCAGAAAATTGGGAACATCAAGTGATCTGATGTTCCCATCACTGAAATATAAGAAAAACAGTTAAAAAGTGAAATGAAAATATGAAGAAAATAAAAAAAATAAAACTATACTCACGAAATCAATGGTACGGTAAACAACACAGCTCAATTCACTCAAAATAATTAAATCAAAATCTATGAAAATTCAATTTATCAATGCAATCAGAAACAATGAAATGGAATTGTAACATATTTAATATAGCATGTGTGTTGCTCTTACATGCAACAGATGGCGCTTTTTTTCAAGAAGAACAGTTTTACCTGTCACAGGTGTGGCATCTATACAGTGGTATCTCGGATTACGAGTGTCCTTGTTTACGAGTTTTTCGGATTACGAGCAGGATTTGCTCGGAAAATTTACATCGGAATACAAGCGTTGCCTTGGAATACAAGGGTGTTGATACGCGTACAGGCCGACCTAGCTCTTGGGGGGCACTGTGATCGCCCCTCAGTTTACCAGTGCCTAGTGACTATCTCGCCTGAATTCTTCACCAGGATTTACAGTGTTTTGTTGGATTTTTGGCCATTTGACCATAAAAGTTGTTAATACATATCTCACCATGGGTTCCAAGAAAGCCTGTGGTAAGGATCAAGGCAAGAAATCGCATGTGAGAATGACAGTAGAGAAAAAACGAGATCATTCAGAAGCATGAAAATGGTGCACGTGTTGTTGAACTCTGTAGGCAGTACAACAAATCCACGTCAACGATGTGCACTATACTTGCCGAGAAAAAGGACTTTATGAGTGCTAAAGTGGCAAAAGGCGTAAGAACAAAGAACAAAAATGCTGGAGGATGTGTTAAAGTTGTTATTAATTTGGATACACGACAAGGAGTTAATGGGTGATAGTGTTTCAGAGGCCATCATTTGTGAGAAAGCCAGGGTATTGCACGAAGACCTTGTAAAGAAAACCCCTGGAACGAGTGCAGATACGATAGACTTTAAGGCAAGCAGGGGATAGTTTGAAAAATTTAGAAAAAGAAGTGGTATTCATAGTGTTGTGAGGCAACACCATTTTAACATTTGTAGTGCTTTAAAACTTGACAAAGCCTGGCAAGAGTGACTCAAAGAACCCTGATCTCTGGCTGGAGAAAATCTCTGGAGTTCTGAATGTGTGCCAGAACTAGACTTCGAGGGGTTTGAGCCTGTAAATGATGTGCCTATTGTTGAAGAAATTGTTACTCTGAGCCGGCAAATGGGCTTGGAATTGGATGGTGCAGATGTGGAGGAGTTGATGGAAGAACACAAAGAACTGACCACCGAAGAACTCCAAGCCCTTCAAAAGGAACAAGAAGAAAACACAGCTGAGGATGTTTCTCCAGTGGAGGAGGATGAGGCAGTACAGAATGTCCCTTCCACAACCATTAAGAAGTGGTGTCAGATGTGGGAAGAAATGCAAACTTTTATTGAAACGACTCGCCCAGAGAAAGCTGTAGTAGGCCGTTGCATAAATCTTTTCAATGACAATGTGATGCCTCACTACAGAGAAATCTTGCGAAGAAAGGAAAAACAATCTTCAATGGACCGCTTTGTTATGAGAAAATCGAGCAGTGAGCCACAACCAGGACGTAGTGGTATGCAGGCAAAACGTGCCAGTGTGTGCACCCCAGAGAGGTCCTCACTGCCTGATGTTACAATGGAAGGGGACTCCCCTTCCAAACAGTAACACCTCTCAGTCTCCTCCTCCCCCCCTCCTCACCATTTTCCATACATCAACAGCGTCATCAGCAAGGGTAAGTAATAACTTGAACATACTTTTGTAGTGTAGATTTAGATGAATTAGGTATAAAATTTAGTTTGACGTGAGGTTTTTGGGTAGTCAGGAACGGATTAATTCATTTCCTATTATTTCTTATGGGTAAATTAGCTTTGGTTTACGAGTTTTCAGATTACGAGCTGTCTCCAGGAATGGATTAAACTCTTAAACTGAGGTACCCCTGTACTTATGAAATGAACGGTATGGTAGACAACACAGCTCAATTCCAACACAGTGTCACACAAAATAATTCAATAAAAAACAAAATAAATCAAAATCTTAAAAATAAAATTTATCAATGCAATCGGAAACATTGAAATGGAATTTGTGACATATTTAGTATAGCATGCATGTTGTTATTATGTGCAACAGATGCTGTTTTTCAATAATTTGTTACCAGCTGTGCAGTTTGTTGCCTGTCACAGGGGTAGCATCCATACAGTAGGTATATAAAAAGATGTGCCTATTCGAATGCAATGTTGTGTCAAAATTTCAAAACAATCGGTGAAGAACTTTCGGAGATTACAGCATGTGTTGCTCTTACATCCAACAGATGGCGCTGTTTTTCAAAAAACTCATGTTTTCTGGGGGGAGCCCTGTCGGCTCCCTGGAGCTTTACCAGGCTGATATGCTAATGTCAGACTTTGGCATCAGTCATGTGTATGGAGTTCTAAGGCCTACCGGGGACCACGGCCAGAACCTGGCCCCCTCAGAGAGGCAAGGGGAGCAATGGCCTATAGAAACCCCCGTATGGTTGGAAGCATTCTATGTCTGCCTTCGACCGGGTCAAGCATCCAGAAAGGTAAGCATTCCAAAACAAACCCCTATTCTGGTGAAAATTGCTACCTAAAGCCGAACTAGTGGACAGAACTTCTCAACAGAAAACAAGCAAACTAGTATGACGTCACACATCACCGCGCCGCTGTCTGTGCAGCTCCCCCCTCCCCAGGAGGGGGAAGGGGGGAGCATGCATTTAGGGGCTTCCTTCCCTAAGCACCCTAAGTACTGCCCTTGCGTGACAGGGTTATCTTCCCTGGGGTGTTCGGGAACCATTCCCGTAGAGGTTCTTGCTGCTTGACATTTGCCTCGCCCTTGGGGCCAGCTGGGGCTTGGGGCCCATGTTTGGCCTTGGGTAGGGACTGGTATTATGCTGGTGTACACCGTCCCTCTGGGGACAGTGTACTTTTGCGGGGGTTTTCTTTTCTTATATTTTCATTGCCTGGTGGGGGTCTGCCTAGTGTGGCTATAGTTCCACTGGTAGTGTTTGGTGGCCCTCTGCTAGGCCCCTGTGATTGTACACGACGCAGGGGTTTTCAGTGTTGGCATCTACCCCTTGTTAGTTTTGGGTGTTAACCGGTTAGCAACACCTTGCCCGGGCTTCCCGTAGCAGTCAGCCTACAGGTCCTGGAAAATCCTGGCGGGGCTAGGTGGACCATTGGATGTGTATTCCGGGTTTCATCCCGTCTTATACGGGTTCGTTGGTTGCTGTGCCCTCGTCTCAGGGTGACAGTCGCCACTTTTACCTCTGTCATGCTGCCTGTTGGGTCACTGACACCTTGACCCGGAGTCATGCAAGTTGTGTAGTCTGCTTGTTCTCCAGTACCCTCCTGATGTCCTTACTGTTCAGAGTACAGGCGGCATCCGCGTTGCAAGCTCAGTTTAGGTTGCTGCAACGTGCTAGGCTGGTTTCCCACCCGGATGCCCTGGGGCTGCCCTGTTTTGGTTAGATGCTGTTCGCCCCTTTTTCTCCCTGTTCCCGACTCCTGACCGTCTGCGGGTTTCGGGGTCGGGGCGGGGTTTAGCTGGGGCTGAGACTCGAGCGGCTTCAGGGGCTGCCCCGTTCGGGTTGGGAACGGAGGTTTTCGAGCCTGTTCCTCCTGCCAAGGCTTCTGGGTCTTACCAGCGGCCCTTTCTTTGCTGTCTTCTTCCTGTACTTTTCCTTTTCTTTAGGAGCAGAGGATCTGGAGGACGTTCGTTTGTGTTTGTGGTGACGTCATACTTGTTTCCTTGGTTTTGATTGGAGCTTTCTGTAGCTAGTTCGGCTTTTGGTTTGCAAATTATTTGATCAGCAGTACTGAAGTTTGTTTTGGAATTCCTACCTTTCTGGGTGCTTACCTGGTAGATGGCAGACAAAGACTGCTTCCAATTTCACGGGGGGTGTCTTTAGGCCATTGCTCCTTATGCCTCTATTGAGGGGGTCAGGTTCTGGCTTTGATCCCTGGTAGGCCTAGAACTCCTTCGATTGACTGTTGCCACGTTCTAATATATATACACATCAGCCCGGTATAGCTCCGGGAAGCCTCCAGGTCTCGCCCAGAAAATGGCGTTTCATTACATTCAACGCTGGGTTTTTTATTTGCCCCATAAAGATGCAGTACTGTATTTTCATGCTAATAAACTCATTGGTGTTTTTTCTAATACAGCAGTAATGGCATTATGACTGGCTCAGTAGATAGTGAGACAAGTCTCTTGCGAAAAGAAGTTACAAGTCTTAACCAAGAGATGAGTCAAGTGCTTCGACGATCCAAGGATGCTGAAAAAGGTTAGTTTTCTTGTAGTGTGTTTATTGAAAATAAGGTATCTTCAATAAACAATAAACTCTTAGATAAGATCTAAGAATTTCAAAAATGTCTGCAGGTTAGCTTTCCTTGGATACAATCCAGAACAGTTGCCTACTTCTAAGTACTGTACCTATTTGCTGCTAGGTGAACGGGTCCATTAGATGAAAGGAAACAAGCCCAAATGTTTGTCCTGCGGCAGGAGTCAAACCCAGAACCTTTCGGTTGTAAACCAACTGCACTCTCATACATGGTTAGGTTTTATGCATTCACGTGTTTGTTTTCTTTCACAATTGTGTATATTTCAAGTACATGTAATTACAAACAATTACAGGGCCAAACATTACTAGAAATAACTCAGTTCTGCATAGTCAGTCCTCAAAATTTAATGTGTTTTGTGGGGGGAGCCCTTTCAGCTTCTCGGAGCTATCTGGGCTGATACTGAGTATTAGCTTTGGGCATCAGTCAATGTACATGGAGTTCTAGGCCTACCGGGAACCAACGAAGCAGAACCTGGCCCCCCTCAAAGAGGCGCGAGGAGCAGTGGCCTATAGACACCTTGTATATACTGTCTCCACTCGATTATCCGGACTATATGGGAAGGACCCCCAGCCGGATAATCATGTGTTCCGGATAATAGTACTTTTTCACCTCTGAGTTCAAAAGTGACCATTTCCAACTATTTTTATAGTGTAGTATAAGTTACAACATAATTTGAATTGTCTTGCCACATATAATTATTAAATATTCAAGTAGAAACCTCAACTTGCCTTGTTGTTGTTTGTCTTCTTGATTGATGCCACACATCTTGAAGTTAAGAATTCTTGACAATTTACGTAACCTATACTAACACAACGCTAAAATTAACACTTAAAATTACTGTACAGTTCATTAAGCAAAGTTAGTTTTGACTGCCAGCTGCTGCTGAAGCCTCACTGGTTGAAGGCACTTGGCTTGCCTGTGACGCCTCACTGGTTGAAGGCACTTGGCTTGCCTGTGAGGCCTCACTGGTTGAAGGCACTTGGGTTGCCTGTGAGGCTTCACTGGTTGAAGGCACTTGGCTTGCCTGTGAGGCCTCACTGGTTGAAGGCACTTGGCTTGCCTGTGACGCCTCACTGGTTGAAGGCGCTTAGCTTGATTTTCTTACCATATAAGAATCAAGTTTAGCTTGCCTTCTGTGTTCATTGGCCTGTTGTATGATCAGCTCTTTGGTTCGCCTCAGGCTTCACTTCACTTGAAGTCGACCGGCCATTTTCACAAAGTTGTATAACACGTAACTTGTCTTTAATTGTCTTGTCTTGTTATTTTGGAAGATGTGCAGTCTGATGTGAGACTGGTGGTGTCCTCTCCTGTCTCATACTGTTGTCCTGTGGCTGGGCTGTGGGGGAGGGGGGGGGAGAAGTACATTGTCTGACACTGGCTGGTATGTGACTGGTATTGTCCTCTCCTGTCTCATACTGTTGTCTTGTGGCTGGGTTGTGGACAGGGAAGCATTGCCTGACACTGGCTGGTGGGTGACTGATGCTGTCCTCTCTAGGTCCATTATATCTGGTGTCTTGCTGGTAGAAGCACATGGTGAAACCTCATTAGCAGTTTTCTTCAGTGCCTGCTGCACCTCGGTCCACTGTTCCTCCTCATCTGAAAGCTGCCTCCATTGCCTCTTTTTCTTTGACTTCCCCATGAAGTCTCCACATAGTGAAGACCGATTCACTGCCCTACCTAATGCCTGAGACACTCATAGGCCTGAAGAAATTTATTCCCCTCCAACAGAGGTCATAAAATGATTCCTCCAGGTGGAATCAGGGATATCTAACGCCTAATTGAGCTGTTTGGTCTACCTTTCCCTGTTAGGCTTAGTACACCTTCTAAGGTGCCCCCTTGTGGCGATGCCCTCAGAGTATCGCCTCGCCCTTCAGGGTAGGACTCTCAAGGGACCTGGTCAGTGATATGGTCCTCAAAAAAAAAAAAAAAATCGGTCATGGGCGACAAGTGCATTATGACAGTTTGGGTCACCTGCGTACTGGGTTGCGCAGAAACCCAGTCAGCTGGGCAGCAGATAATTAACAACATTGTTTGTCTATCAATTGTAGACGAAATTGGCATTGTTTTCCTCCAAACAAGATAATATCTGGGTCTTTGAATATTGATGTGTTCTTTCTCACAAAACCGCGAAGATTTGAGCTGATGGGTGCTCAGAATCTTAAGTTTTCCAGGAAACAAAACCGTGTGTGGCCAGCTAGCAATGGCGCCGGCAGCGAGTCTGTTTGTCTGTGTATGCTTTAACCCAGATCATGTGCAGCTTATCTTACAATTTGTGTGTTGTGGTCAAATCTCGTTCCTAGAAATAATGAACTAGATTAAACAATTAAATTTTCTGCACATTACTTAGTACAGTATATACTGTACTATCTTTTTGTTCACACCTATTGAAATATTCATTTCTCCTGTCAGTAAAAGGTGGGTTCATATTTTTTGACTATCTAATATTAAAACAAATATGTTTCAACAATAAATATTTCAAGTGCTAAAGTTAAATTTTTGCCTACATCATAAGTTTTGTTGGTCCTATTCCTACTGAGGGTTGAAATAAAGGTACAAAACTTAATTTTTACATTTATATTTATTTTATGCAGTATATATCTAGTTAGAAGAAAACTTCTCTTTCCAAGTGTGTAATTATAATAAATTATTTTTGTCTCCATTTTGATATAGCTAATATGGTCCAAGTAACCTAAAAAAATATTTTCTCTTTTGGTTCTCTTCATTTCATCACATACATAATAAGAATAAGATGTGCTCTTTCTATATGTATCATGAAGAATCATTAAACAAAATGATTAAAAACAAGAAATAATAGTTTAATCATCATTATATACTATAATATACAAAAATTATTGAAGTGTGTGTTTGTATCTGGCCATTAACATACTGAACATATATTTCCCAAGGAATTTTGACACCGTTTTATCTTTTATTTTGTCTTTAATTAGAGAAAAGAATACTCTTTTTCATATTTACCATTTATCATTATAGGGCAGAAAATGCTTGACAAGTCTTGATCAAAAGGATTAAAACATTTACATATAAAAAGAAACCACTTTCAGAGCTTGTAAATTAACTCTAATATGATTCAGTATATCCAAATATATTGTACATAACTTCTACATAACTTGTTAAACATTCAAAATATCATTCATTCATTATGTAAAAATATCAAGTATAAACAGGTATGAGGTATTAGTGGATGGGTGATGAAAGCATAATTGTCAATGTTGGATGCTACTGTATGAAGTAACATTTGATTCTACTTTACTCTGAATTTACTCTGTCTAGAAGCCCGTTTTAAAAGTCGGAGGACCTCGTCAAACATTACATGAATTTTGGAAGCGTTTTTCTAGGCATATGGTTTAGGGTTGCTTATTACATTCCAAATTTGTTTTTTTGCGAGGTGACCTCAATCTCTTAGTGCAGCCAAAGAGTTATGATTTATTAATAACACTCTTATACAAAAAATATCTCGGTTTTGTATAAGGTATTCGTTTTATGATGAAATTTTATGACTCGTTATTTATCAGGATTTACTATATCTTCAGAGGCAAACCACCTAAGGACACAAGTGTCAGGATTGTTAAGCCAGCAGTCAGCAAGTGATAGAATGTTACGAGAATTGCAGCAGAGAGAAATGGATCTACAGGTGAGAATCCCTTTTTTTTTCATGATCATTGCAGTAAAAACTGTGAAAATAAATATCCCACATGACAAATTTAAACAAACATGACAGTTCGTGATCTGATGCTCCACATTTTAACACTTTCGCGCTTAGGATTATCCATGAGTCGTCACCGTATTTTCTTACGTTTACGCATAACAGACGACGCCTGTAGTCCATCGAAAAAATATTTGTATAAAATCCATTTATTATCCGATCAACTTGGGAATAGTATACAAATGTTTGCCATGAAATTTACGTTTTCTCTAATAGCCGAACAGCTTATAAAAGAAAACGGCGTGGCAGTGAATCATCGTGGTAAAACAATTGTATTATTGACACAACGAGTGTAATCGACGTAGTTTTTATATATGTTGCCGGTCGAACGCATCCTTATGTGACCTTTAATACTGATGTTCTTATAGAACATTCTATTGCGAGCACATTGGTACAAAAATTAAATACATACATCGACAAATAATGTCAGGACAGTGAATTGAATATACACTTTTCAAAGCGAGTTTCGCCGATATGCTGCCGCAGGTAACACTTCAGCCACTTCCCACACTGTTTTGGGTGGGCTACGACATTGAATCTATATTTATATGCATATGTCCGTGTAGAGAATTTTATTGCGATTCCAATGATACCACAATTAGTGATGTAGGACAACTGTAGGCTTCGCAACCATTAAGAGAGTGGAAACATTTTGTTGCTGTTTGGCGCTCTTGGCGAGTGATCTGAATAGTTTTTTATTTGGTGTTGATAGTCCTTATGGTTTGGCGGCATTTTATAGATATGTTCTTATAGACAATTTTATTTCGAACACAGTGATACCAAATTTAAATACGTGCGCCTTCAATTATTATCAGGACAGTAAAAAGAGTGTACACTTTTTCGGTCTTACCGCGTATGCGCGCGGAGCTCCGAAAGCATCTAGGGTATTATTTTTTTTTGAGCGCCAAGAGTGTGAAAGTGTTAAGGTACTTGTTAAGCATTGTGCTGCTCGGGCTCCAAATATAGCACCCCCCCCCCCTCCTGTGCTCAGTAAATAAATTCTTGGCAAAAAATTTGTTACGTTTTTGAAAACGTTAAGTACCTATCCCTGATCACATATATGTAGAAAAAAAAATCGAAATTGTACTTACTTTGGCCGCCATAGGGTTCAGAAAATGGCGTGTGAGGACACGATTTGGTGGTCGCCTGTGGCGTAGACTCCTGGAGCCAGTTGCGCGCCAACTTCAACATGCGCGAGTTGCCACAAATAATGTTTTGTTCATATTTTGCGTACATTTCCAAATGCATTTGTTTTGTTCTTTCTTGCCATTCCTATGTATAATGAACACATACACAATATTATGGCAGTAGAATATCCGTACTGCCCCAAGACACTGTGTTACATGCATCACAAATGTGTTCATATATATTGCTCATTGTTCCAATGTTTCATGTTCATTTATGTATAATTACAACATATTTACACACTATCACACATTATATACATTCACCATCAACACACCCAGAACTCCTCGAGTGTGTGATATGATGCGAAACAGTCGACGGGGCGTAGTGGAACTTTGCACTCAACGCACCAGGTGGAGATGCATCTTCGCTTGCGTTCTCTACGTTGAGTGTTCTTGCATACAACACATGACATATGAGTCACAGCCTGGTTGATCAGGTATCCTTTGGAGGTGCTTATCCAGTTCTCTCTTGAACACTGTGAGGGGTCGGCCAGTTATGCCCCTTATGTGTAGTGGAAGCGTGTTGAACAGTCTCGGGCCTCTGATGTTGATAGAGTTCTCTCTCAGAGTACCTGTTGCACCTCTGCTTTTCAACAGGGGTATTCTGCACATCCTGCCATGTCTTCTGGTCTCATGTGATGCTATTTCTGTGTGCAGGTTTGAGACCAGCCCCTCAATTATTTTCCACGTGTAAATTATTATGTATCTCTCCCGCCTGCGCTCAAGGGAGTACAGATTTAGGCTCTTTAGTCGGTCCCAGTAATTTAGATGTTTTTCTGAGTGGATTCTAGCAGTAAAGGATCTCTGCACGCTCTCCAGGTCAGCAATTTCTCCAGCTTTGAAAGGGGCTGTCATTGTGCAGCAGTACTCCACTCTAGAGAGCACAAGCGTTTTGAAAAGTATCATCATCGGTATAGCATCTCTAGTGTGAAAAATTCTTGTTATCCAACCTGTCATTTTTCTTGCAGTTGTGACGGCTACTTTATTGTGTTCTTTAAAGGTAAGGTCTTCCGACATGAGTACACCCAGATCCTTTACATTGCCTTTTCGTTCTATGTTATGATTTGCCTGAGTTTTGTACGTGGTTTCCGTTTTTATATTTTCAATTTTTCCGTAGCGCATGAGCTGGAACTTATCTTCGTTAAACACCATATTATTTTCTGTAGCCCATAGAAAGACCTGATCTACATCTGATTGGAGGTTTGCCGTGTCCTCTATGTTGCCAACTCTCATGAAAATCCTAGTGTCATCTGCAAAGGATGATACAGTGCTATAGGTTGTGTTCTTGTCCCCTGTAGGGAATTTTATTGCGAACAAATTGATACCAAAATGAAAGATGTAGCATGAGAATTAAGGTGATAAAACTGAAGAGAGTACAGGTATACACATTTCAGTGTTGCCGCGCTCTCGCGGGAAATGCCTGGGCCACCTCGGGGTAGCCTGGCATCATTCAGGTAACCCATTATGGATATTATATAACTCGTACCATTCTCATTTTCTAAGCATCCATGGGATGAAACCAGCATCCTGGGTAACCCCAAACACATGCCTTAACCCATGGACCATGGCATGCTAAAGATCTGTATAAAGATCTATAACCTGCAATCCACCCAAATCAGATATATTATATCTTGTGATGATTTCGGGGCTTTTAGTGTCCCCGCGGCCTGGTCCTTGACCAGGCCTCCACCCCCAGGAAGCAGGCCATGACGGCTGACTAACACCCAGGTACCTATTTTACTGCTAGATAACAGGGGCATAGGGTGAAAGAAACTCTGCCCATTGTTTCTCGCCGGCACCTGGGATCGAACCCAAGACCACAGGATCACAAGTCCCGTGTGCTGTCCGCTCGGCAGACCGGCTCAAAACTTATTGTGATTTCTTTATGCTTCAGTCTCACTTCTTTCATCACATGATGCATAAGCATTAACAGTTACCTGCTTTGCTTTTTACCTTGTCAGGCCTGAATTTCATACAAAGGCTATGAACTGCATTTTTTTTTTTTTTTTTTTTTTTTGTGATGTACATACTGTAAACTAATGATTTTCTTTTACAGGAGTCATTACGAGCTAAGGACAGCCAATTTGCAGTTTTGCGAGTGAGATTGCAAGAGGCAGATCACAATGCTGAAACCAGAAATGCTGCTTTGAAAGAGCTGCAAGCTGAAAATAAAAGGCAATATTTATTGAGTAGACAGTCATTGATTCATATTATGTTAGTTCATTATACTTATGGATTATTTTATACTAAATCTAGTATGTACTGTATGTTTTAAATTTCTATGTAATGTTTTTATTAATATAGTATTGATTCATACAACTTGCAGATTATTAGAAGGTGCAAGTGAAAGTAGTGGATTGCATAATCATGCCCTTCAATCCCTTCAAGATCGACTAGTAGAAACCCAATCTACTTTGGATCGTGAGAGGCAGCAACACTTCACAGCTTGTAGTGAACTTACTAAGCGGTGAGTTCTTTTAGTGTTATGAAATTCATTATAAATTAAGAACATAACATAACTATTGGCTAGTGTTGGTGAACTTCATGTTCTCCTTAACACTTTCGCCCGGGCATGACGCAGCATTGCGTCATCCGTTTACTGGCAGTAATTCCGGGGATGACGCAGCATTGCGTCATCCACTTTAAATAATCGCCAAAAATCAGGTTTTTATCCAATTTTTGGGGGACTGGTTTTAAAATGCACGCCGATGTCTTCCCATTTTCCTTGTTGAGCCTCGTGGCCCTCAGGCGGCTTGGCACATGCCGTAGGCCCATTGCTTTCGCTCCACTGTTGTGACCAATGCCGCCTCTCCTCGCATCTCAAACGTGTGAACATTTCGCCTATTTTCCGTGGCTATATTTCTTACTGCGGCTTTAGAAACTATCTACGCTTACTCCACGATGGATAGTGATCATGAACAAGGCCCTTCCAGGAAGAAAATTGCGAAAGAAAGGCTTGAAAAGGGCGGGAATTGGGAGTGTAGGTGGAAGGCGGCTGAGCACTCACTCGCGGCTAACGTGTGGCCCGTCTTCAACTCGTCGGCGGTTGGAGCGTGACCAGGTTTTTTTATTTGATATGCTAATGTTCCTCTAGAGAATTCTATTGCGAACCCATTGAGACCAAAATGAAAGACCTACGATAAAAATTGAGGTGACCAGAGTGAAAATAGTGAAATCATTTTATCGCGTTTGCGCGCTCCTGGGTAACTCGTTCGCACTTTCTCTGTTTGCTGCGGGTAATTAGCCGGGCTTTTGGAGTTTATATGCATTTAGTGCTGTAGAGAATTCTATTGCGAACACAATGATACCAAACTTAATCTCGTAGGGCGAGAATTAAGGTGACAAAGTTGAAGAGAGTATACACTTTAAAGATTTTACGCGCACTCCCGTGACACCCTGGGTCCCATATCGCACAGTTGAGGGGTGGCGAGCGGGGTGCACCAAAGTGTTAAGAATCTTGGCTTCACCACTCTTGGTTGAGGTTATTTTGTTATACTGTATTTCCAAATTAACCTAAGCTTCCTGAACAGAAATATGACTTCCTTCTTCAGGCTTAATTTGTCAATTTTCAGGTACAGCATATTATTTAATCTACCTTGTTGCTGGCTTATGTTGATATCTTTTGGCTTCTGGCAAGCTCAAGCAACATTTTGTTTTCTGGGGGGAGCCCCTATGGCTCTCCGGAGCTATCCAGGTTGATACGGATATCCCTAACTTTGGCATCAGTCGATGTGGGTGGAGTTCTAGGCCTACCAGGGACCACAAGCCAGAACCTGACTCCTTCAGAGAGGCATGAGGAGAAATGGCCTATAGAATGTACATGTGGTTTTGAGGCATTCTATATCTGCCATTGACTGGGACAGACACCCAGAAAGGTAAGCACCCCAAAACAAATCCCTATTCTGGTTAAAACGACGAAAATAGACAAACAAGTGGACAGAACTCCCCAAATGAAAATGAGCAAACAAGCATGATGTCACACGAGCTGTGCCGCATGTCTGCGCAGCTCTCCCCTCCCCGAGAAGGAGGAGGGGAGGGGAGATCCCACATCCCAGTTCTTTGGCTGATGGTATACGGCATGGTCGTGTGGCTCCAGCTCTGGATTCTTGTTGTGCTGTCCTCTGTTTCAGTACTGCTCTTACGGTGGCGTGCGAGTTGGGAGTAATATTCACAGGTACTCAGGCTGCATGTGATCACCTTCCCTGAGTGCCCTGTAAGTACCGCCCTAGGGGCTTGGGGTCCTGTTCCACAAGTAACCTTGGGTCTACCTCTGTTGGCCTTTTGCTGCTTGGCAATTGACCACCCGAGTGTTTTAGGGGGTTCTCCCCCTTGTTGCCTTGGAGTAAGTGGTAACTTACTCTCTCTCTCTGGTAACTCTCTCTCTCTCTCTCTCTCTCTCTCTCTCTCTCTCTCTCTCGAGAGAGAGAGAGAGAGAGAGAGAGAGAGAGAGGAGAGAGAGAGAGAGAGAGAGAGAGAGATAGAGAGATAGAGAGATAGAGAGATAGAGAGATAGAGAGATAGAGAGAGATAGAGAGATAGAGAGATAGAGAGATAGAGAGATAGAGAGATAGAGAGAGAGAGAGAGAGAGAGATATATCTATATATATATATATAGATATATATATATGTCGTACCTAGTAGCCAGAACGCACTTCTCAGCCTACTATGCAAGGCCCAATTTGCCTAATAAGCCAAGTTTTCATGAATTAATTGTTTTTCCACTACCTAACCTACCTAATGTTTTCGGCTACCTAACCGAACCTAACCTACAGAGATAGGTTAGGTTAGGTAGAGTTGGTTAGATTTGGTCATATATCTACGTTAATTTTAACTCCAATAAAAAAAATTACCTCATACATAATGAAACGGGTAGCTTTATCATTTCATAAGAAAAAAATTAGAGAAAATATAATAATTCAGGAAAACTTGGCTTATTAGGCAAAACGGGCCTTGCATAGTAGGCCCAGAAGTGCATTCTGGCTACTAGGTACGACATATATATATATAGAGATATATATATATATATATATAGATATATATATATAGATATATATATTATATATATATATATATATATATATATATATATATATATATATATATAATATATATCTATATATATATATATAGAGATATATATATATATCTATATATATTGTCGGGGTTCCTCGGCGAGCACCAGTATACTCAAGGTCACTCACCGTAGCCCTGCGGGTCTTCACTCTATCCTCGCGGCGCCACTGTACGCCAGGAGAGTATCCCAGTCAATCCCAACCGGCCTCTGATCGAGAAGGAGTGGGAACACAACTTGTTCACTTAACTGTTGTATGCCCGCCCCAACATAGGGCTCTACTACTAACCACAAGGTCGCCAACTGGTGTTTTCGGTGTCCAGTAACACGTCAGTGGTTTTGTTGAATTGTGGTAACAGTGGCAAGAACACACTCAATATGTCTGATATCAGGCAGGTATTTACTTCTATCGCTCTCTGCTTTCAGGTATTATATAGCCACAAGAAATATGGAGGGGATGATATAAATACCAATGTACTTTGTATTTTACTTAAAACTCATTCAAAGACATCACAAGATTATATCAATAAGCAAACAGCTGTTTCAGGCGGAAGCCGCTCGGTCCCACATATAATATGAACTCGCCAAGCTGGCAATGCTCCCCCTCACGTCAATGTCAAAATCAGCTGGGCGGCTACTCCCGCGCGAATGTTACTTTATCTGTTTGTTTGTGGCGTGACGCGCCAGTTTCTTTAAGTTCTCAAAGATCACTAGAAGTTCGAACACACAATATTTGCGACAATAGCACGTAAATACTTCGCTACACTGATCTTGGGCTCAATCAAACATTTCTATATTAAAGGTGACAATAATTCACTGTCATGGTATTACACACTGCCCTTCATTTAATGATAACGTATGCAAGTATATATTACTGGAGTTCTCAGTAATTCCTTTCGTGGGCGATAACACAATTAATCACTGCACACATGAATGATTATTCAATACACAAGCATAGACACATATATATATATGTGGATGAGTCATAGACATCAATAATGGTAATGACATAGTTATTGGGCACATAGCCTAACTCCAAATACTGGCATAGTTATATATATATTCTCTCACTAAATGATCATATTAAAGTCTCATTAACGACATTATCAACACAGTAAATTCATCAATTACTCCGGGTGCCTGCACACCCCAATAATAATCATAAATATCGTGAGTACTCTTTATAGTCCCACTCTACACACTTGTGCCTTACTGTGACATAGGTGAGCCTTGCTCACGACATACAAAATACTCAGGCTAAATAATATAGCTGACTAAAAGGGAATTGGGAGGGAAACTAGAATCACCTACTTCCACCTATCCTCCGGTGAGAGTTGAGTTGTAGCTCCTGGTCCTGGCTCCTGCCTCGTGTAGGGAACGCCCCCACACACACACTGTCGTGTCCTCCAGGAACTCGATCAACGTCCCACCGTAAGCGCGTCGTCTCCGTGCCCTTTCACTGCAGGTCTGTGCTCCTCCTCGACTTCTTGTAGGGTTGGAGTCGGTCTCCCGGCCGTCGACTTCTCCTCCCAGCTACGGCTGCCCGGCTACGTCTCGGCTGCAGTCGTTCGGATTCCCGAATAGTTTTCCTCTTCCACTGCTTCCCGGTGGCTCGGTCCAGCCACTACGCCGTCACAAACGGGTGAACTGCCTCAGACGTCGTATACGTCACTGCACAGACTTCACTTCTTCTTGCACAGTACCTGTCCTGGAGCACTTGTTGCTCAATATCCCGTCGATTCCCTCTCTGGTCCAACACATGAACGAAGGAAGACCTCACAGAGTACTGGCAGACTTCGGGTGACACGTAAAATCCACGGGAACGGGAAACAGCTGCCAAACTGACAGGACCAATCTTCGCACGTCCCACCACCTTGACGTGCCGTGTCAGACTGATTCCCTCCGGAGGATTGGCTCAGCAACTACGTCATCACTGTGGAGCTATCAGCCGTCGCATACGTCACTGCCTAGACTCCACTCTTGCACAACACCTGTTCCTGGAGCACTTGTTGCTCAATATTCTGTCAATTCCTTCTCTGGTCCAACACATGAACGAAGGAAGACCCCACAGGTGATGGCAGACCACTGGTGATGCGTAAGTCCTCCGGAGACGGGGTAAACTGTCCAACTGACAGGACCCCCCAGCGCACGTCCGACCTCCTTGACGTGCTGTCTTAGACTGATGGCGCCAGCGCGGCGCGATGACCGGACCCCCCTTCCTTCGTGACATCATATTCGCCACGGGAGGTTTTCATTGGCTCCCTGTGCCACGTCGCTGTCGGTGACCAATCTGGTGCCACTGACGTCACACAGTTTTGGCGGCAAAACAGAAGAGCCAGCGCCATATTGGCTTCCTAAAGGGCCTAAACTGCAGGCCAAAATACTCTTCTTTGATAAATTTCTCGGCACTCCGAGAACACTACATTCTCCCACATATATCAAACTGATGCCTGCGACGTAGAGAACGCTCGGGTAAAGTGGACATGACTCTTACTGCAGGCGTGGGAGGAATATAAGGGGGGGAACACCGTCACAATATATATATATATATATATATATATATATATATATATATATATATATATATATATATATATATATATATGAGAGAGAGAGAGAGAGAGAGAGATATACATAGATATATATATATATATATATAGAGAGAGATATACATAGATATATATATATATATATAGAAATATATATCTATATATATAGATATATATATAGATATATATATAGAGATATATATAGAGATGTATATATATATAGAGATGTATATATATAGAGATGTATATAGAGAGGTATATAGAGATGTATATAGAGAGAGATGTATATAGAGATGTATATAGAGAGATGTGTATATATATATATATATATATATATATATATATATATATATATAATATATATATAGTGGCACCTCGATTTACGATTGCCGTGACTTATGATAATTTCGAATTACGATGTAAATTTCATAAAAAAATTTGACTCGACTTACGATAGTGTCGTCGACTAACGATATTTGTTGGTACACGTTTGGATCGACCGAGTGTGTGGTTCCCGGTCACGCAGGTCAACCTGCCTCAGTTTACTAGAGCTGCCGCTTGGTGACAATCACGCCTATAAGAAATTTCGTATTTGTGGTGATTTTTTGCTTTTTGAACATAAAACTGATTATTATATATCGTGCCATGAGTCCCAGAAAGTCAGTGGTAAGGTTCAACCTAAGAAAACAGTTGTGAGTTGAGGCAGTAGAGAATATTCCTTCCTCATTAAGAAAATGTGTGAAGTATGGGAAGAACTGCAAAGTTTTATATATAAAAATACTTGTTTCATGAATGCTTTATTGTATTAGATGGAAATTTTCCAGGCTGGCAATCTACTGTCACCTACAGAAGGATCTCTTGGGAAGGAAGGGAGGGAGGGAGGGAGGGAGTGAGTGAGGGAAAGTGAATGTGGGCATGGCAGAGGAAGTGAACACCAGTGAGGGGTGACTCCCTCCCTTCCTGGGGGTGGTGTACAACAAGTGTTAGGCCACTGATCCGGCCAAACACCCACTTATCCGGCTCCCATGGACATTTTGGCTGGATAGTGAGATAACTTTATACAGCCACGATTTTAGCCGGTTAAGGGCATTTTGCGGATGGTCGGATTCCGGATAATCGCGTGTCTACAGTACAGGGTACTTTTATTTAATTTACATAATATTTATTTTGATTTGCTATATTTGACGAGTGTATAAGATGCACTTCTGCATAAAACGTGTCCCTATTTTACAAGGATATTTTCTGGAAAAAAAGAATGATAGTATGTTAACTTAAATCCTTATATGTATGAGCATTTTGCATTTACATAATAAAGGGTTTCTTAAAGGTATGTTGGCATAATACATCTTCTCTGCCAGAAAATGCAGTATTATTTGTTTATATGTTTTCAGAGTAAACCATTTAGAAGAGGAGCAACAAGGAGTAGCCAAAGCACTATCTGAAGCCCAACGTAAACTAGAAGATGAAAAGAGCAGATCAAATCAACTCTCACTGCAGGTTCTCTTAATATAATTGTGTTCTTCCAGCCTTTTTATTTGATATAAAAAAATTGAATCTTTTACTAATGATAATGTTTGCATCATGTTTCATTCCTTATTATTGATGAAATCGTTAAATCAAATCCCATTTAATTTGTGCAAATCATCTGAAGTTTGTTATAATTTACTAAAATTTACAATATACATTATTGGATGTTACACTGTACAGTATATGGTTTGTTTTGAGTAAAGAATACTGCAGATGTGAAGACTCCTTACTGCATACAGTATTAAAGTTAGTGGAATCTAAATTGATTCAAAAGATTATATGATGTTCTGTTATTAGGGCACTGAATTAAAATAATTATTTTTCTCCTTATTAAATCATTGTGTTATTGCACGTATTATTGGCTAGTCATTTGAATTAGATGTATAATTCTGAGTTATCCAAAGAGTTGTAGCATCCTTCCATTAAAAAACCTGCATAATGTGACTAATAATTCTTAAAATGCTCATTCATAGATAAGTTCTTTGCGTGGTGAACTGTCAGCTTCAAGAGAAGAATTGACAGAATACAAAGCTAAGGCCAGCAGAATTCTTCAAAGTAAAGATAAACTGATTGCATCTCTTAAAGAGGATCGGGGTGGGGGTGGTGAAGGATCCAGTGGAGGAGGCACAGAGTTCCATCTTCACGAGGCAGAACTACATCAGATAAGGTAAAATAATGCATATAAGCTAATCATAATAAGAACTGTGCAATCCACCCTCCGAATTGACAGTACGATTTAATACTAAGTGTAATAAGTACATTTACTGTCATACATAGTACATAATTGCACTTATGGGGATTTATAAATTATACAGTAGTTTAATTAATACAATTTATATGGTTTATAAATACAATTTATAAAATGTTTTAGTTTTTTAAATAATATAACATTTGTTTTATAAAACTGTAATATCAATATAGTGAAAGGTTAAGTAGTAATTGTAATTAAGAAGCAATGAAATGCTTATCTTCAAAAACTAAGACAGTTAGGTTAGGTCCTGGTTTTCTATTCAAGTTTTCAGGTAAACTCAAATATTCACAATATATTTGACAGTACGTTTTAATACTAAGTGAAAATAAGTACAATTCCTGACTGCCATACATAGTACATAATTGCACTTATGGGGCTGTTACATTTACCTCCCCATTTTTGGAAGACAAGCTGGAACTGTGACAAACGTACCAAGAAAGAAGAACCTGTTTTGAATCATACCTCCCCAGTCTTTCATTAACATCTGTCCAATTTCAGGGCTGAACGAGATTTATTGCGGGAAGAACTTGAGAGTGCAGGAGCACACATAAGGCAACTGATGACAGAAGTGTCTGATATGGAGTCTGCTGCTCAAGACCAAGCTGCACTTGCTACTCAGAATTCCATGTCACTCGAAGAGTCGTTAGCAGATGAGCGGAAAAGGAAGGTAGAAGTGGAGTCTGAATTAAGGCAGATGCAGGAGGTGGGTGATTATTGTGGCTAGTATTTCTATTGTCTAATGGAAACTTTCAGACAGTTTATATTTATAATTTTATTAAATGTCAAAACATAATACAAATTATCCCCCCCCACACATTCACCCCTCCCCAAAATTAGGATAGGTACGTACATTTCTTCAGATTCCTTTTAATTATATTTTATGCAACTTTGTTTAAATATAAGACCATTAATGTTTATCAAGCATATATAAAGTAACATAGGAAGAGACAGGCACTCTCATCCATACAAAGAACAGCCTCTAAAAGTAACATTTTGTATACTGTATTATAAGTTCGTATAACACAGCTTCCCTATTAAAATACCTGTTTTCTAGCTTTGCACACGTACATACTCAAGCTGTGTTCGTAGGTTGCAAACATCAGCTCTCAAGCTCCTCATTATATATGCATATTTATGCATTGTGTGTGTGTGTTCATGAGCACAACACTGTTCATGAGTGTTGTGTTTTTATATACTGTATGTCCCATTGTCATTGTACTCTTTTATTAGGTTTCCAAGCCTCTGGTGTACATTTTTCTCACAAATGCATTGAGTTTTGCAGGAGTTACGTTGTGCTCATGAAGAACTGACTAGACAAAAAGTTCATCTCTCATCACGAATGCAGGAAAGAGATACAGAGATAGACCGACTCAGAAAACAGGTTGGTAGCCCATATGCTGGTTCTCTCAAATAATTCATAACCAAAATTTATTTTGCTGATTTAACACAATAACTAACATTACTGTAAAGGATCCTTCAGTAATGTTTGACCAGGTCTTCAGATCTTCAAAACAAGCCCCTGGAATGGGTATATATTGTCATCTGTTGGCAGCAAAATCATGAGATATCCTAGCTAGGGGTTCCTTACTAGAGGCAAACTGACTCGGTAGTGTACGTGACAAGGACATGAGAGCAATGCTTACATTCATAGTAAATTTCATCTGATCTGAAGTACTTGATGTCTGTCCTCCAAAGATCTGGCCCCACACACAAACAGCCCTCACCCAGAGCCCTTAAGATTTGTCTTTACTCAGCCTGTGCTTCATCTTTTATACAACTGTTGGGCTTTATAAGATCCTGAATTGTCTTTTGATATAGATAAGTAATCACAACTGGATTAAGTCCATAACATAACTGACAGCTTCATTATCTCCTATGCACTTGACCTGACCTGGCGGGTTAGTGCCTGTATCAGGTGTGCGTTCTCATTGTCCTCAGCTAGACTGATCATCACTGCACCCAGGCATGTTCCATTGTTATACTGTTATGCTGTGTACTATTCTCTTGCTACATCTTTGCTGTGGAAACAGTCTAACACTATTTCATGTTATTTGAATTTGCTGTGCAGAATTCTTAAAAAAAAAAAATGGTTGTATTGGGGTATAGTATTCTATCTGTTAAGACTGTATATTGGCAGGTGGCCCACAAGCAGAGCTCGTCTAGCAGCCACCTAGAATTGGAGCAACGCGTTCATGGACTGACAGAGTCCCTCATCCATAAGCAAAACAGTATAGAAACTCTGAGTACTGAAAAACACTCATTGATCATTCAAATGGAACGACTTCAGGTGAGTGTTTTGTGTGCACATTAAGTATTCCTTCTTTATACCGTATTTGCATGGAAGCTTCCTCTAGAGAAAAGTATTTAGTTTCATTGAGAAACTGGATCATATGGAAAGAATAAGATTGGATTCTTGAAAGTGATAAATATGTAAATAAAAAGTAATTGGTAGTAAAGACCACAAAGCTGAAATTTGATGTAGAGAAGCAGCAAAATGAGAAAAGATTTCTGCATAAAGTCTGTTCTTATTTCTTTGTTGCTTTGCATCAAATAATTGTAAGAAAAAATATCAACATGGTAAATAATGAAAGTTATACAAAATAAAGACTCCTGCTGCTGGTGCAAGATAAATGCACTCCAGTGAAAGTTGTCACTCTTTCAACATATCAAGGGCACTTCTTTCTGAAATAGATTGTCATATGTTATAGTAATTACAAAATCATTTCCCTGTGAATATGAACGCTCAATTTTTTTTTTTTGCTATTAAAGCTATTCATCATTTCATAAATAAAGGATTAACAGTTTTTATTTTTCAACTAGCAACAATATCAGGAATCCCAGATGATGTTGAACAGAGATCCCCCAACAATGTTCCGGCAAGATGATGGTGAGATATTGAAACTATATTTGTTAATTTAATGAGACAGGCTGCTGATACAGTAAAAGCCCAGTTTTTCAAACATGAAGGGAGATGAAAATGACCAGATATCCAAAAATGTTAAACACCTGGATAAACTGCCATTATTTTCTTCAAATCATACTACACAGTATACTATAAGGGTTCCGGTAGAGTCAGGTTCATTCACAATTCACAAACGAGAATTCCAAGTTTGAATCCCGGGCAGAATAGAAAGGATTGGGGTGCATTTCCTATTGCCTAATGTACTTGTTCATCTAGCAGTAAATAGGTACCTAGAAGTTAGCCAGCTTGTTGAGGGGTGGCAGTCAGTAATTTGACCCTGGCAGGAGGGACCTCAATATAAGCCTAATATATACTATATGTTTAAATTTACTGCCTGTCCTGCGACATAATAAATTATTATTATATAAAATTAATATAAACACTATGAATTCTAGTGATATAGACCTGTACAAGATGCAGGGAGGCTAGGTGGGGCTGAACTCATTATACATTTGTGACAGTCATTCATTTTAAAGGTACCTTGTATATAGAGGGGGAAAAGAAAGTACCATAAACTGGAGAACTTTCCCTCTTCTCAAGTAATGTTGATTTTTTTTAAATAATTCCTGCTTGGTACTAAGAGCTGTGGAATTTCTTTGTATCGTTTAAAAAAAAATTGCGTACAGTAATTGGATGGCAGCATAAAATTATTTCAATTCTAACCATGACATACAAAGGTCTGACAGAATAAAAATTTAACCAATAATGGCATATTTTAGAAAACTTGGATATTTGGGTGAGTAAGTCATCTGGAGGTCTGATAATCAGACTTATTGTACAGCTTTTAAAGTCATAAGTCCAAAAATAATGCAGTACTGTATATGATTGAATTTGAGGTAAATAGGTTATGTAATGAAAAATGGCATAATACAGCATTCTTTTCACATACTAGGCTAAAGATACATTATTCATGCAAGTCAGATATCTACACCTGCTAGAATTTCTTTTTTCTTTTATTGCAGTAAGAAATCGTGTACCAAGTTTTCTGGTCGAGTCTCCATTTGACGGAGGTGTAGCTCGACAGGTCAAGCGTGCTTACTCTACCTTGGATAAGTTCTCTGTTAGATTGGGAATATTCTTAAGACGTTACCCAATAGCTCGAGTTTTTGTTATTGTATATATGTGCCTTTTGCATGTGTGGGTGATGATTGTCCTTCTCACATACACACCAGAAATACATGGGTCAGATTATGAGCATCATCAAGTAGGTACCATGCCTCACAAACAGTAGGTAAACACAGCTCACATACTGTATAGTATTTATTATGCCTTACATAAACAAGTACTTTGTCATACACTTTCAACTGATTAATTTATATTTCCAAAATTTATGATAATATTTAAACAAATCTCTTCCTTTCATAGCTTCATTAAACTGCTGTACATTCAAGACTATGTATCTATTTACTTTAACCCTTTAACTGCGCAACACGCCTGCAGGCCCACGTCTGGGGTGCGCTACGTGCCTCCGGGTATTTGTATTTTTCACGTTCCATTCAAAACTCCCGCGGCTACATGGGGTTCACATCAGCTTTCTCAGGGCTCTTGTAAACAGACGCAATCTTTAAAAAAAATTGTGGTCCACATTCCCGGGTGTGAGAGCCTCAGAAGTGAGTGAGCAACCATGGCCGGCGCACACAGCATGAGCTCACAGCACTGCTGTTCAGCTTGTGACCACAGCATCGCCTAATAATGTCAAAATATATATATAACTTGTATTATTTAGCCATGATAGTATTACAGAAGAGCCTGTGTACAATGTTCAAATATTAGTAATTCAATACTGTTCATGATGTTCACAGTGCCAGCCACAGCACCACAGCATTATTTTGTCCATCAAGGAATCTCCAAACGACTTCTTAGGTTCCTTTACAAAATAAACTTGTGGTCAATTATGTATTTGCAGGATTTAGTGACCAGTATTGTGATAACAGCAGGATTGTAGTGATAATAAGCACTGTGCATAGTATTGTGGTGAGGGAGCGAGGGAGAGAATCGAGGTAGTCTCACTGTATGGCAGCTACTCTTGTTTTGCTCATCATACTAGCTCAGTGGTTTGCGATGGTGAACACATATGTACATGGGTATATACAATGTGTGTATATAGTGTAGTAACAGCAACAGGAGTATGTTGAGAGGAGTGATTTTGGTGAGGGAGGTGATGTAATTGTAGTGTCGTCTGCTGCCTGCTGTGTGATTTCTCACGCAGTGTCTGGTGGCCACTGTGAAGTTTCGACACAATACCAGCTTACTTGCATAGTTCTGGTGAATAAAACATGTAGATAGGTATACATAACATGTGTAAATAGTGTAATACAAATAATAACAGTATGGTGGGAGGAGCAATGTTGGCGAGTAAGATGTTGGAGGAGTGAGGGTGTGGCAGCTGACACTCGCGGAGTTCTGAGTGTGTTCATGGTGAATGTATATAGTGTGTGATAGTGTATAGTGTGTAAATAGACTGTATATATACATAAATTAGCATAATACAATGGAAATATGTGCCGGATATGTGTACACATGTGTCATGCAAGTAACACAGTGTCTTTGGACAGTATAGATGTTTTACTGTCATAATATAGTGTACGTGTTCATTATACATAGGATTGGCATGTAAAAGCATATAAAATGTATTTGGAACTGTGTGCAGAAAATGAACAAAAATATATTCTTGGCAACTCGCACATCCTGCCCCGAGCGCCCAACCGGCCCCGGGGGCGTATGCCACGGGCGACCAGGGAATGATGACGTCACGCATGAACGTACGAACCCCATAGCAGCAAGTACAAGAAATTGTACTTACAATTTCGACCTTCTGTTACTATACCCTTACTCAGGGAAGGGTTTTTGACACTTTAAAAACAAAAAAAGAATTTTTTCCAGAAATTTTATTTCCTGTGCACTGGGGGGTGTCATATTTGGAGGCCGCGCAGTTAAGGGGTTAAATACTGTAGTCCCTGGAAAGTTATTTTTTTTTCCATAGGTCATAACAAATGTTGTGAATTTCCTAAACTGTTTCAGTTTTATTGGTTTATCACATGAGCATCAATTTTCAGCATGGGTTTCATTGGTAAAATTTGTGTCTGAATATGTAATACCTGTAGATTAATTTGGAATGGCATTTTAATCATTATCATTCTTTTTTATCATGATCAATTTTATTATAACCTTATATATTTCACATAATTACAGTAGTAATAACCCCTTATCATTTGGACTTATGACATTCGGTTGTGTAATTTCAGCTATGAATTGAATGGTGTTACTATATATATATATATATATATATATATTTTTTTTTTTTAAATATCCTAAATCAAGATCATTGTGTAATAATATACATACTATATACTGTGCATATAGTGTAGTCTTGCTAATCCAGATTAATTGGCACCAGACCACTTTCTATAGTTACAATAACAGGTGAGCTAGGTTTTTTATTATTGCTATCTTCTTAGTGCAAATACTCTTTTGTTCTCGTATTGGCATCCTTATTGATATTTAGCATTTTTTTAATATCCTGCATTTTCTGGGAGGAGCCCCATCGGCTCCCCGGAGCTATCCAGGCGGATATCGATATATTAACTTTCTGGCATCAGTCAAAGTGCATGGAGTTCGGGCCTACCGGAGACCATGAGCCAGAACCTGGCCCTCTCAGAGAGGCATGAGGAGCAATGGCCTATAGAAACCCGTGTGGTTGGAAGCATTCTATGTCTGCCATCGACCGGGTCAGGCACCCAGAAAGGTAGGCGCCCCAAAACAAACCATTATTCTGGTGAAAATATTGCTACCAAAAGCAGAACGAGTGGACAGAACTCCCCAAATGAAAATTAGCAAACTAGCATGACGGTTTCACATTTCTGCGCCGCTATCTGTGCACCCCCCTCCCCAGAAGGGGAAGCCCCAGACCCACATGCTGGCGATCTACACCTTCAGTTCTTGGCTGATGTGATACTGGCAAGGTCGTGTGCCTCTGGCTCCAGAATTTATCTGTTTCTGTGCCTTGTGGCGTGGTCCTGTCTCTATGGTCGGTGTGTGAGCCAGGAATAATATTCTTCAGTACTCGGGCTGCATGCGCCTAGGGTTTCCTTCCCTAGGTGCCCTATAAGTACTGCCCTTGGGGCATGGGGTAACCTTCCACAAGTCACCGTGGGTTCTACCTCCACAGAGTCTCTTACTGCTCAGTGATTGACCGCCCTTCGAGTCAGCTGGGGTTTTTGTTTCCCGGTTTGCCTCTGGGTAGGGGGGGTAGTTTTCGTCACTGGTTGGGGAACAGGGTACAGCACAGCTAGTTGTAACCTCTCATAGCGGCCGGTTCTGTACCGCCTAGGGACGTTGTCCACTTGCAGGGTTTTTAATTTCTTTTTGTTTTCTCTGCCTGATGGAGGATCTGCCCCTTGTTTGGTTGTACCCTCTTGTTCTTGGTGGCTCTCCACTAGGCCCCCGTGAGTGTACATGTCCCGGGTGTGCAGCTTGTAGCAGTTTGCTTGGTAGTTTTGGGCACCGGTTAGCTGTACCCTGCCTGGGCATCCCTTAGCGGCCTGCCATGACTAAGGGCCCTGGGAACCCCGCGGGGGTTCTGTGGTGTGATGGATGCGACCCAAGTCCCCTCTCGCTTTGTGGGAGTCGGATGGTTGCTCTGTCCCCTTGTCTCTGGGTGACGGTCACCGGTTGTGCCTCCGCCATGCTGCCTGTCGGGTCGGTGATTCTTTGGATCCGGAGTTGTGCGATGTTTGTTGTTTGTACGTTCTCCAGTTCACCCAGGCTTCTGATCATATGAGAGTGCAGGCAGCTGAGGCGTTGCATGCTAGGTTTAGGTTGTTGCAACGCGATAGGTTACTTGCTTCCCCAGATGTCCCAAGACTGCCCCGTTTTGGTTATAAGGATCCGGACTTGGGGTTGGGAGTCGCTTCGGCTTTGGTTCCATCCGCCTCTCCTTGTCCTTCCCCTTCAGTTTTTCTCGAGATGTGAGGGGTTATGAAGGACGACTCAGCCCTAGGTCCTTAGGGTGAGGTTCCAAGGGCAGGGGAGGGGTTAACTTCCTGGGGTGCCTTGGGCTCCGTTGGACCCCGCCTGGGTTTGTTTATCCTTGGAGCTGGGCTTGGCATTGCAAGGAGTGGGGTTCTCTTTCTCTCCCTCCTCCTCGTACGAATTGGATTTGGAGTCTACCCCTCCCCGGGTTCAGTTCTGTGATCCCGTAGTTTCTTCATTTCATCCTTCCAGAGGTTTTCAGCTTCCCTCATCCCTTCCCATGTGGTGCAGGAAGCCCTTGTGGATTACCTCCTGTGCGACCCGGATTTAGCCTTCATAATGGATCCGCATTCCTTCATGTATGGATCTTCTTGTCCTTACTGGGTTTATGAATTCCAGAGTTGTCCTGGTTAATAGACTGCTCTCTCTTCTTGTTGGAAGCTTGGCATATGTTTTGTCGGCCCTGCACACTTGAGTTGCGGGAGGCTCAAACGGCGTTGCAGGTTTTCCTGGGGGGGCGATGTCGAGCATCTCAATGCGTGCTTGTTCGCCCCTGCCCTTCTGTGGAATGTTGGTGTGTTGCAGCTTCATATGCAGGTTCCTTCTCTTTTGGCTGCATTGGTCGCGGAGGACTTGTGCAGGCGTGGCCTGTTGTGTTCGGCCCTGCATTTTTTCTCCCTGCTCGAGTTGCCTTCTGCCTGGCTTAAGGTGGATGTGGAGGCGCTTGGGGCCGCCTCTGGATCTGGTGTGTTGCCTTCGGCGGAGTGTGCATCTTCTGCCTTGTTGAAGCTGTTCGCACCAATCCTGGGGAATGTGGTTTTGCGGTTTTTGCTTCCCACCTTGCGTGTCGGCAGGCGGTGCTCACTTTATCTCTGGAATCCGCTTGGGCCCTGGCTCTTGGGCTGTCTTCTCATTTTGCCCGCTGCTGTTTGCGGAGTCTATGGTTGTGCAGTATCTGCAAGCAGCTTCATCTGGTTACCATCCTATGTCGGACTTGTTAGTCCTCAGGGGGAATTCCTTCCTGTGAGGGTCATGCCTGGGTTCGTGGTTCCTTACCACTGGGGTCAGTTTCGGTGCGGCCTTCAGTACCTTCTGTTGGGCACGGGGATTGACCTGTGCTTAGGTGCTCGTAAGGTGCGTCGGCCCTTTAGCGGTTCCTCCCATGGGCTATGGGGGGAACCATATGCTCGCGCCTGGTCCCACAATTTGTGGGCCTTTCAAGTCGTTCGTGCGGCCTGCAGTGGTGTTGGGTGACCCCTCCTCCTTCGGGGATGGCAGGACGGGCCTCTTCTCCTGTGCTCTGTCGGGTCAATCGGAGTGGGTTCGCTTGGGCGTGGTCGAAACGATCTTGTCCCTCGGGTAGTTTTCCCGCCTGTTTCCAGTTCCGAAAAAGGACTGCGCTGACCTCAGGTTCATTCTGGACTTGTTTTATCTCAACCCATGGGTTTATTGCATCTCCTTTTGGATGATTACTTTCCCAGGTCCGTCTTCTCTTGGAGTCAGATGCTTGGA